TGAACTTTTTAACCCATCATTTTTTGCACAATGTTCTATAATATTTGCACAAAAATTAACGTTAAATTATGAAGTAACAGAAATTTATATATAATTTCATTTTAAAAAAAATCTTCTTAACATTTTTCATATAATATTGCGGCATTTCAATAGAGATCCGTTTTCGTTGGCACGTGATGGATGTGATCCAATGTACTACCTGGACCACACACCCTACGTCAACAAAATCTTCTTAACATTTTTCATATAATATTGCGGCATTTCAATAGAGATCCGTTTTCGTTGGCACGTGATGGATGTGATCCAATGTACTACGACTACCTGGACCACACACCCTACGTCAACAAATTTTATGGCGTGTTTACTAATCCGTAATCAAATTGAGAGGAATTAGATTGAGGGGGAATTGGATTGAGGAGGAATTGAAATGAGGTGGAATCAGAATCAGATTCCTGTTGAAGTTGTTTACTAAAACTGTCAGGAATCGGAGTAGGAATGATGTTGAGTCCATATAAGTTGTTTACTAATTCATTTCAATCGGAATGAAAACTAGGTTGATTACTATATTGCCCTTACATAAATAAATTATTTTCATACTAATTAATTTAATTAAATTCTTAATTAAATTTATATAATAAAATTCATCTATATAAGCATGTATAAATAGGTTTTATTTATTTATTAAAAGATGGCAAAAATGATATTGAGTCTATATAAGTTGTTTACTAATTCACTTCAATCGGAATGAAAACTAAGTTGATGACTAAATTGCCCTTACATAAAAGGTCGTACCCAGTGCACAAGACTCCCGCTTTACGCATGGTCTGGAAGAGATGAATGTCGGCTAGCCTTACCCCCATTTTATGGAGAGGCTGCTCCCAAGTCTCGAACCCGAGACCTACCGCTCATGGGCGAAGGCACTTGCCATCGCACCAAGTGCAACCTCTTAAATTGCCCTTACATAAATAAATTATTTTCATACTAATTAATTAAATTAAATTCTTAATTAAATTTATATAATAAAATTATCTATATAAAAAAATATAAATAGGTTTTATTTATTTATTAAAAATGACATAATGAGTGTCAAATGAAAGGCAATGTTGGGATAATAAGAAACAAGTGAGGGCATAATTGGAATAAAAGATGCATTCCTGATTCCCTTGCCCTTAGGGAATTCAAATACCTCACAAAACTAGGGAATCCGGTTCCTCCAATTTCAGGAATTGGATTCCTTGTTTCGTGTGGGCTCCACCACTTTTTTGATTCCTTAATATTTAGTAAACACCGGAATACTCCGTAATCGGAATTCAATTCCCTTTCTTTATTCCGATTACCCTTACGTAAACATGTCATTAGTGTTACTTACTTTGTCTATGTGTTTGATTTCGTGTGCAGGTTGAAAATGGGCGGATGCCCATCTTTTTGGAATTCAAAAGGGAGAAATTCAAACTAGCAATGGATATTTAAAAAGAGAAGTAAAAATCCTTGAAAAAAGGAGTAGAGATAATTTAAAATATAAGGGCCAAATTGAAATAAAGATTAACAATTTAAAAGATAATAAAAACTAGCTTCTATGCATGCGCTCACGAACGTGCAGAAGATATTTTTTGAATCACAACGTGCTATGCGCGACTTATACGTTTTAAATGTATATATGTGTGTAAATTGACAAAAGGAAAGTCAAATATTTGAAGTAAATGAATAATCTTATATCATGCTAGAAGAAACCCCTCATAAACCAATTAAAGCAGTTGAATTCACATAATAAAATCGATCTCTATAAATTTTACATTAAGAATAGAGAAAATAATATTTAATAAACAATTGATTGAATCACATTATTGCTAGCCCATTGTGAGGCTAAGCCCACCTCATTCCTCTTAATGTAGATAATATCGTTTGTTAATAAAAAAAATAATCATTTAACAAATAATTTAATCAAATTATTATACGAGTGCGAAAGACTTTTTTTATAACCGGCATTACAAGCCTCTTAAGATTTTTTGAACGTGTTTAAAATAGATAAAATAATATTTAATAAACAACTGATTGAATCACATTGTTGCTAGCCCATTGTGAGGCTAAACTCACATTCCTCCCCCTTAGTATAGATAATATCATTTGTTACAACAACAAAAAAAACAATCATTTGACAACTAATTTAATCACATTATTATCCACGTGTGAAATATCCTTTTTATAATCGGCATTACACGTCTTGTTTAGAAATAGATAAATTGAATCAAATAATTGGTAGCCTATTGTGAGGTAATAATTAAAAAAAAACCACAAAATAATTTAATTATTAAAAAAATACTATTAAAATAACAAAAATGCCCCTACCTTATTTGATGCATTATTTTGGGATGCCTTTGAAGTTTTTTGTTTATGGGGCATTTTTGTCCCTTTCTTTTGTTGAAGCTTGGTGACACCAAAATACTATTCACCTTTTCTTCTCTCTTTATATATAATAGATGACGTGGAATGAACTTATGTCAAAGATCACGAGAAATGGACTATTCTTAATATTGACTCTCAAATTGGACTTGAATTAAATTAAATCTTATAATATTTAGGTTCTTCAGGTGAAGGTAAAAAATGAGGATTCACATGCTCAGCCATTAGATATTTTTTAGGCTTTTTATCTAAAATGGTTACTGAGATTTAATAACTCCTTACTCCTTACTTTGATCATTGAGATTTGAAATCAATAGAATTGGTCCTTGAGTTTGTCCATCATCAATCATTTTGGTCATTTTTTTAAAAATCTTCATTAAATAAGAATATAATGAAAAAATACTCTTAATTTTGTCAAATCATTTTGGCCCATTGTTTATTAAATTGAAGGTATATTTATCATTTTGATCCTTATTTAACATAATTTTGCACATAAGAACCAAAATGATTGATAGTGGACAATCTCAAGGACCACTTCTATTGATTTCAAATCTTATGGACCAAAGTGATGTGTTATGCAAATCTCAAGGACTATTTTGATTAAAAAGCCTATCTTTTAATGGAACGTTAACTAAAGCTTTATTCTTTTTTTTTCCTTTTGTCTTCTTTTCAAGGACTCTATATTTGCCACATCATCACTTAACTGTTAACTTAATAGATTTTTTAACGAACGTTTAAAATTGAAATAAATGATAAGTAAATATATGAGATTGAAATATTTTAAAGTTATTATATGATGATGCAATCTCACTAAAATTTAAGGGTGCAAAATGCAATTTATCCTTTTCTTATAATAAAAATTAAAGAAATACAAATAAACTCACAAAAAGTCAATCACCCCATCATCTCGACAGCCACCCCTAACCCGCTCGTCGACCAATTCGCACCATGTTACTTTGAAGGAGGACGAGTTATCATTACTGCATTTCTATTAGTTAATATAACTCCCTTTGTCAATCAAAAGAGGGTGAAAATACTATTTAGTCTTCTATCATAAAAAAAAATAAATAATGAGCAATAATGTAATTTCATAGGTCTAAATTTTACTGTTTTTATTGAAACCTCACAGGTTATGTTAAAGTATTTGTAATATTTAAAATAAATAAAAAATAAAACCAAAAACAAAAACCTCTCTCTCTCTCCTTCTCATTTAAAAAAAATATTCATACACACAAAATGTATAAACAAACGCTGGTATCAATAACGAAAAAAGTAGTGATCAGTAAGTCCTTACTCAAGGTCAAAACTTTGAAACACCTTTTTAATTTATTGTTAAAAGTATCAATTGATTCAATAATTAAATAGTTAAAGTTATGGTATTATTAGTCTAGAGTTTATCCTTTTAACGATAGATATTTTTTTTGGGAGATCCAGAGGAGACTTGGGCATTTATTACTTGCAGCCCAAATAACGAATATGAGTCCGACTTTGTAAGAAAACCAAGAACCAAGAAGTGGTAACTGGTTGAAATACGTCATGATGGCATGATTAAATTTTTGAGAGCACAACGTACAAGACCAAGTCAAATGCCATATAAAAATCACAGAAGGGAATAAATTATCTGGCCTTGAATGCCCATTTGCATTGCTACAATTGATTCCAATATCATGAGAGGAAGGACTGGAGGAGGAGGATCAAACGAGCGAGGCACTAAGGAATGACGATTCGATCAAAAGAAAGAACACAAAACCTAATTGAGAAATGATTAAGTGCAGTTGCAGTACGTGAAACCAATTTGTTTTTTACCACTTATCTAATGACGCTTGTATACAACTAATAAATTTTGATTAATTATTTAAAATCGCCGTTCATTTTGGTTTGGCCGGTTCTTCTAAGGTGAAAACTAGAATCGAAATTGGTATGAACGATTCAGTCCGGTTCTATAACCTAAGTTGACTTATTTATTATTTTTTTTTGTCAACACTGTATTTTATGGTCTCTTTTGTTGTGGTTCGATTCGGTTTCACGGTTCCATGATTTTTATGCCCACCCTTATTTTTTATAGTAGAATCCTTCCATACTCGCGTTCTTCACACAGGGTAATGAACATATTTCACCTTTTTTGAATAATGTATTTTCATCATAAAAACTTAAATCGTTAATTTTATAAACTTCATTTAAAGCATTGAACTTGTGCTAGATGTATCCGTCCTCCCGAGCTTTCCTCCATTTTAGAGTGCAAAAGCCAATGCCATGGAGAAATCTCCCATTAGTTCTGAGCTCTTACCTCCTCCCGTAAGCAACAATCTGACTCGAACCCTCTTGGATAATCGGTGTTCAGCTACTTCCTCTCTGGAGCCAACCGAAAACTCGTTATATAATCCGCTTGTGATCGATCATAGTTTTCAACTTAGATACCTCCAATAACACACGAGTTACGGTGAACACATTACGAGTGTTTACAAAACTCCCGCTGAATATAGACACAACCCAGGCACTTGCTGTCAAAACTAACAATCCGAAAATGAATTGACGGAATACTATGGTGACAGATAAACTACAGATTTTCAGAAACATAATGAAATTAAAGGAAGCGAAAGCAAATGAAACAGTCTTTGAAAAGAGACTGCAGGTTTTGTATATTTGACAAGAGGGTTGCTTCACATCAACTTTGCATACCCAGAAAGACTTGGGTTGCGTATATTTATAGCCAATATATAGATTACATTCAGGGTTTGAAAACCCTATTTACATAAAGTCCTAAGCCTATCCAACTCCGAAGAGAGAAGTCTTTGAAACCAAATACAAGACTTCAAACAAACTAACGACCCGGTCTAACACTACTAACTTTCGCCACCGATCTCTTCACCAACAAAATCCAGGATAACAAAAAATGGGAATCAATACATAGATAATAGGTCGAGATAGATAAAAATGGAACATCTTTCAATCAAAATTCACATCCGGTGCCATAAAATTAGTAAGAACAAGTGAAGAGAGTGGCAAACCTTGGCAGCGAAGCTCGGAAACGAATTAGACATGTGATACAAGATATCCAAATACGAAACGTGATTCGATATAATCGCCCCTGCCCTTTCAGGCTCCTTCTCTTCGGCCCCATCTTTTCCCTAACCAAAAATTTAACATCAAAATTCACTGCTCAAAATCTCACGAAATCAATTTTCATGCTTTAGAGAGAGAAACGATGAGAGAGAGTACCTGGGCGGCGGGTTTGGGGTCAGAATCCGATGATATTCGATGGGTTTCGCTGATCCAATAGAAGCCGAAGACAACGAGCATTACTCTGGATAAGGCGCGGCCGCACTGGACAATCACCGCCCGCCGCCATCCTCCCATGTGCGCGTAATCCTCCTGCTCCTGCTCATCGTGATTGGGGACTTTGAAGAGAGTGCAAATCCGGCAAATCAAGTAGTACAGCACCAACACCGTCGTCGTCAGCACCAACACCGTCGTCGTTAGAACCACCCGTATCGGAACCAGAGTCACCAGCGCGAGCCCTAGCAGCACTTTCTCCTTCACCGGCAATCCGTCGCGTCCCATGGTGCCGTACACATCGCGTCGCATGTACACCGCACATTTCTTCTCAAGCTCCTGGAAAAATTTATCTCCACATGGTATAAAATTAAATTGACATCTATATTGAAGATGATCTTAAAGTAATCTTCAGTGAGAATTATTCTTACGTAAATTTATATAGGACTAAGTGACGGTGAGTTTAACGAGTTGTGTATGTATAATGGAATGGTTGAATCAAATCTAACTTTCTATTCTGTTGAGTAACTTTTACTTGACATGGCTCTTTTTTAACTAAAATGTTATATGTCACTAATAAATGTTATTTGCTTTACATTTGATCATTTTTGAGTTGACAACTTTTCATGTCACTAATAATGTAAATAGCCCAATGACAAGACATAACCTAATTTAACATTTAAAACAAGTTTATGTTTTTGTGTAGTTTGAGTATGCTCATTTGTATTCCAAAGGATTAGACTTGGGCAACTACCGTTCTTTGCCAAATTTTTTTGACTTATTAACCAAAATTAATCGAAACCCTAGTCATCATATGAGTCTTCTTGTCTCTTCACCTTGTATTTTTTTCTTGTTAGGCAAAGTTGTCTTGTACTCAAATCGAACATGTAGATTGTACTTGCAAATATCTAATTAAACATTTGGTTTACTTGTATATGATTATGCGTGCTAGTATTTTTCATTGCCACCAAATGCAATATCTTATGGCAAGGAAATGAGAGAGGATTTGCCGGATCTCTTTGGGAAGATTTGGGAATTTTACATCAATTTATCGTATATCGTCGATCAGTTTTCATAACTACTATTTATATTCAATTTTAAATAAAAAATTTACAATGATTTTTGACCATACGATGTATGATGAACGGATGTGATTTGAGAATCACAGGGATCCTCGCTCCAAAATTGACCAATTTGTTGGATATCTCTTTGTTCATATTAAAATATAGACCGTTCAAGTCAACCAGTAAGTAATTTACGACGTTCTAATCATTAATATATGTTTATTGTACAATATTTTTATAACTGAACGATCATTTTCTAGGTTATGATTAAAGTATAAAAAAACTCACTTAAATCAAAAGCCGTCTAGTTATGCAATTGTGACTGATAAATAGATAACATAGTGGCTCTCGTTATATGTATTCCATTTGGAAGTAATTGACGTATCGTATGCATTTGTAATATTCAAATGGATCGGATTCCGGAGCTAAATACAAGATATTAGCTAATAGTTTCATTTGGTGAAATTTATGACAATGCCAGTTTGGGGTTTCAGTTTGATCAAGAAAAACAATTAGGTCTCTCAAGCTATGTCAATCCCCTTTCGTTGCCGTTGGGAAGACAAATGAAAATGTAACAGAACTTGAATAAAAAAAGGTCTACCCAGTGCACAAGGCTCTCCCGCTTTAGCAGGGTCTGGGAGAGGTGAATGTCGGCTAGCCTTACCCCATTTATGGAGAGGCTGCTCCCAAGTCTCGAACCCGAGACTACCGCTCATGGGCGAGGCACTTGCCATCACACCAAGTGCGACCTCTAACAGAAACTTGAATAAAGAAGAAATAAAGATAGAGAAGGTTGCCCTTGCTTGAATCATGGGAAGATGGAAGATGGGAGATGGGTAGAGGGCAACTAACATATTGGCAAACACATAAGTTTTCAGCTGGTTTTCTGGACTGTTGGTTGGTAGAGGCAATGAAATTTAATTAATGGGTTGAACAATATTATTGGTATAGGGGTTGGAAGTGTATTGAAAGTGCGGTTAACTCTCTTAGCTTGATATTGGGTTAATTCAAGCTTAAGTAATTCAGTCACGTTGCTTCAGCTGGCAGGCTAATTGTGGGAAATCTAGTTCCTTTTTTGAGTTTTTTTCTTCATTGCAAAGGAGGTGAAAACGAGAGACGATATTCTGGTCTCGAATACGGAAGTAGCTCTCTACACCATTAAAGGGCCATCAGGTCCCAAGACCCCCGAAAGATAGGAGAATGGATTGGTAGGTCCCTTTCCTACTAATGTTTTGATGATATGCATGCTCGACAGATCTCGGTAATGATGCTTGGCAAGCTTCAACAACATTGCTTGATAGATGCAACATGGCTCTCCATATATCGATCGCCTAGCACATGGCTTGACAAATGTTTACATGCAACTAAAATGCTTGACAAAATGCCTCAATGCTCTAACTAGACATAAATCTTATATACACCAAGACCTCATGAGTATAATTTTTGGATCCGCAGTTGAAATTAATTCCAATTAGCTTACATAGAAGAAGAAAAAATGGACACATTTTTGAAAACATAAGGTTTAAAATAAAAAATAGAGAGTGATTTTTACTACAAGTTTCATCATTCAAAATATGTTCTGTGGATTAATTTGTCACCTTGATGATATTCTATATGCTTTCAGCAAACCATGACCATATGCATCTTGCTCAAATTCATTGATTAGAGAATTAAATAAATAAAAATATATTTTCCAATATATATAAACATAAAAATGTACACATGATTCTGGGATGATAATATAATTAAATACGGGGTTTAATTAGGTATTGGAAAGATTGGTTTATATATGGATTACACGGATGAAGCATCATGTGGAGTGGGACAACTTGTTGTGTTGTAGCATCAATTAGATTTATTCGATAGCGACTAACCACCATGTGAAACCTTTGATTCAATATTTTAATCATTAGGATTATAAAATGGTATTATCTAGGGGATAATTGGGGTTGTCAAAGCCAAATTAATTACTTATTAATTTTTTGTCAAAAGGGCACATCTCATGGCCATGATTCGTGAAGTGTTTTGCTTTTGGTTGAGTGCTGAAAATGCACATTGGACCAAAACCTTGATTTTTTAAACCAATATTTGTTTTTAATTAAAGAAATGGTATCTGGCTCGTATTCTACATAATACGTATTGTATTCGATTTCTAGAGCTGATGAAGTGCCTATGGAGAGTCTGAAATATTTCTGTGAGTCTTTTCGGCCCTAAAAAAGGTGAACTGTCATAGTGAAGCTACCAACTAATCACATTTAAAAAAAACAAAATTTGTAATGTAATGTATCAATTAGATTAGATTAATGGGTATTACCTGTATTAGAAGGAAGTGCTCCACAATTTAATACAGATAATTTGATTACCCAAATGATCAACTAGGTGACTGGTAGGGCATATATATTTTATATATGACAAAGGACACATATTTTCTCCTTCAAATGAAAAGATTTGGGAAAAAAAAATAAACCTAAACATTTGGTTGGTCACAATTCCTATAGAATCACACATCAATTCCATGTGGGTCAAGATCCATCCCATCCCTACCTTGTTCTTCTCCCCTCTATTATTCATTGATGTAAATGCGTACCTGATTGTTGCATACTTCTATTTGTGTAGGAATTGAAAATCAAATATGGAGGGCATGCTTAACCAAAACTCATGGTCACGTACACACTACCCACAAAGCCATCGAATATGCCGACGATGAGGACAATGACACTCAACCCAATGGAATTGAATTCTTTTCTGAGGACTTCAAATTTTGAAAAATCACAATCGCTCCCAGCGGGGGAAGGTAGGCTGTTGAAGCAAATCGACGACCGAGTTCTAAAGACTGATTCGACTCGCTTAATCCTTAATGACCTATGTCGTTTCACTTTTACCCCAAGAAAGAATTAAAAGTTCTTATGAGTTATGTAAGCAGTAGTTCTTAAGCTTATGAGAAAAAGTAAATTCGACAAAAGTAATTTTTATGCTTNTTTGATGCATGTCAAAATTCCTCACTTATTTTTTGTATTAATCACCTGAGAAATAAAAAATAAAAAAAGGGCTCGAAAGTGGCACTTTCGAGCTTTTTTCCTGCCAAACCACGACGAGTTAGCGGTCAAGAAAAGTACCATTATCTTCGTCTCGTCAAGAAGTATGATTTTTTCGTTTTTGAATCTGTTGACCCTAAAAACTACTAAGCCTACATGGCGCGTAGGCCGAGTAATATATGAGCTAACTAAGTCCTTCAGTTGTGTGTGGGGCGTGCCAACTCATTGGCCGAGCTCGGCCGAGGAGTAAAATTTGTTGACGTTGCGTTAGGTGCGCGGCCGACTTCTGCGTCTTGTGATTGCAACCGAGGAAGGAATACATCTCGGCTTCTTGGGTTCTCGAACTTGAAGACAAGGCTACTATTCTTACGAAGTTCACAAATCGTCGTCGTTGGATTCGGTCACAGTGATAGTATTTGTCAGAGTAAACTCACGCCAAATCGACACCAAAGTGTAAGGGCACAAATACTCAAAGCGAATATAAGTCTTAACAGTAAACCTCACCTCAGTGAGATCCAAGGCCGTGCAGACCCACCGAAATCCAATTCCACTGAATTTTCTTCCCGACTCTTGGCCTTTGAAATCCCTTATGCTTCTTGCTTATCCTCGGCCTAAAAGGCTGAAAGTGTTTTTTTTTTTTCCGACTCTCGACCGTCAGAAAACACACAATGAAATACATGCTGCAATATCACGTCTTCTTAGCAAATTTGGATTACTTCCTCGGCCAACTAATATATATATATATATATATATTTGGATTGTTGCAGTGTTGTTGCCCCCTTATTTTCTTATGCATCGACTTAATTAGCCAGATGATTAAGAAAATAATTTATTCTTTTTTATTTTTTTTAAATGGAAATAAAAGTAGCCGAACCATAGTCAGGAGAAGGCCAACGATGCTTTATTCCAAGCCGAGATCTTGTAATAACAAAATTTTGAAATTGATTTTGCTCTAGGCCGAATAAAGAATCATCTCCAAATACTTTTGACTTAGTGAAATATTTTTTATCATCGACTACTGAATGTATTGAACAATTACTACGCCCCCCGGGCATAATAATTTTGCCAATTTCAACTTTTAACTTAAACAATTTAACCGAATGAGATTTCTCCATATCGGCTTTATCACCAATAATCATATCAATTGTCGTGGTTTTTCCGACTAGGCCTATGTCTCAGCCTTGTTCATCATTGGAGCACTGTTCAGTCGAATCATTTTCTGAGTCGATTTGTGGCTCA